TTGAGAGGAACAGTAGACCCAATGACTATTTTGCAACCTCTCAATTCTCTCTGCAAAGTTGCCAAATATACCACCCCAAAACTCTAGATGTCATTTTATCACCTTTGATGCTATCCCCATTAGAGTCCAAATTTTTAAAGTTGAGGTACTATTTTAGCAGTTATAGGGATGTCACCCATGATGGCAACTCTTGTTGGAGTTGCTTTTAGAGCAACTCCAAGGAGAGTTGCCATTTTTGGGATGCCAAATGCCATTTTGCAACCTTAAATAGTGTTTTGGCACTCCTGAATTATAAATCTACTTCAATAGTAGGTGCCAAAATAGTGTGTCATTTAAATTTTTTAATATTTTTTATTAAAAAATATAATTAAACTTAACAGTTATATTTTAACGGGTATAGGAGAAATCCTCAATAATTAAACATAATGGTTAAATTTTCAAATTTTAAATTTTAAATTTCAAATTTCAAATTATATCCACCAAAATTAAAATTTCAAAATTCAACCGTTGAAATTCAAATTAAAAAATTTAACAACCAAAATAAAATTTTAAAAATGTATAATTTGTCTATAATATGATCATTTTTCTCATATTTTTATCCATCTATATTACATTCTCTCTATAAATTCAATACCTCATTTCTCTTTGACTCTTTATCCTTTTATATTTTCATTCGGCAATCTATATGAATCGTTATCCTAATATTTTAAGGGAGATCCTCAATATTGAAGAAAAAAATAATGATGATTTGAATATGTTGTATACTATAACCAGAAGGTCAAAAGGGTCTAGTCAGGTACGGATAAAAAGACATCATGGTTCCGTTCCAGGCCACAGAACAGTTAATCATGGTAGAGTTGAAGGTCACGAAAGACTCTATCGTGACTATTTTGCTACCCCTTCTGTATATGAATGTTTTTTCAAAAGAAGGTTCCAAATGAGTCACCTTCTTTTTTCCCGAATTGTAAATGAGGTTGAACAACACGATTCATAGTTCATCCAAATAACAGATACCGTTGGAGTTCTCAGTTTATCATCCATTCAAAAGATAACAACTGCTTATCGAATTCTTGCTTACAGAACACCGACAGATTCTGTGGATGAATACATCAGAATTGGAGAAAGCACTGCCATACAAAGTCTGAGAAGGTTTGTGAAAGCTGTTATTGTAGTGTTTAGAGATCACTACCTGAGGTCACCAAAAAATATCGATATTGTTCGATTATTACACATGGGGGAACAACGTGACTTTTTCGGCATGTTAGGGAGTATTGATTGCATGCATTGGAAGTGAAAAAATTGTCCTACCACGTGGTAAGGTATGTATACTGGTCATTGTTACAAACCAACAATCATTTTTGGAAGTTGTGGCTTCTCAAGATCTTTGGATATGACATGCATTCTTTGGGCTTATTAGTTCGCTGAATAACATAAATGTTCTAGATAGGTCTCCCGTTTTTGCTTTATTAGCAAATGGTCATGTTCCTCCAGTTAACTATATAATTAATAGTCATGAGTGTACAATGATATATTATCTAGCTGATGATATTTATCCAAACTGGTCGACATTTATTAAAACAATTCTCTGTCCACAAGATTTGAACAAAAAATATTTTGTTAAAGCACAAGAGTCGGCAAGAAAAGATGTAGAGCAGACATTTGGGGTACTTCAAGCCCGTTTTGCACTCGTTCGTGGACCAGCATGCTTTTGAGATGAAGAAACACTTGTAGACTAAAATTAATAATGCATAATATGGTCATTGAGGATGAAGGAAATATTGGTAACAATGACTTTGATGGAAGTGATGCAAATCCGCCTGTAGAAGTGTCGCATGCGTATACACCAGAATTGGAAGACTTCATACAAACTCATTGTCAGATCAGGGACAGTGTAACTCATTCTCAACTGCAATCAGATCTTATTGAGCATTTGTGGGAATGACATGACGACTAGTAATATTCTCAATATGAATTTCAAGTTGTATTTTCAATTCCAATTTCAATTTCAAGTTGTATTTTTAATACATAGTTTTTCATTAATAATAGCAACATAATAAATACTGACTAAAATTAATAGCAACATAATAAATACTTACTAAAAATTAAAAATACATAGCAACATAAATTAAAACGACTAAAAATTAAAACCCCATTTTTTTCATAATCTCTATCTTCAGGTTATTCCAATATATTGCAGAAATTGGGTCCATGTTAGTATTGTCAGTTTCCATTATTTTCATTTCATTTTGCATGTCATTCCACCTTTCAATTTCTTGCACCTGCCTTTCTTCAATTTCTATTTGTCTACAATGTTGCTCCAATGCTATCTCTTATTGAGCATAAATTTTATCGTGTCGCTCAATTTTTTGTCGTTCCACTTCCATTCTTTCATTCTAATGGTGTTGATCTAGTGATGCTTCAACACCGATTTACTTCTCTTTGTTTTTAAGTTGTTCCTTTGAAATCTTTCTACCCAATGGCCTATCGAGATTGGGATTGGACGGGGGTTCAATGTCATCCCCTAAATATGGAGTGGAATAGCAAAATTCAATATGAGTTGATTCAACAGGACTATCAATTGAATGAGTTTTTACTCTCTTATTGCTGGTGAGATTATCAGTCCATTTTCGCTCCATGTTCAATATATTCCAACAATACTCATATTGAAATGGTCTTCCAATAATCTTAGCAAACATTTCTTTTGCGTCATCAACCTGAAAAACATATGAAATTAGTCAGTCAATAGTTCAAATATCAAATTATAGTAGTGTCTAAATTAAAAGCTTAATCATTACATTATTTTGCTCGAAGTGTCCACTTTATCACATTCTTTCAATTTGACCATAAAAATCGACAAATTTGCCGCATTTTGCATATATATCAATCCAACGACTTTTAATAGAAGATTGTGAACGCTCTTCTTGATTGCCTCCATAAAATTCTAAGTATTTCAATATTCTTTTTCAGAAAGCATCGCCTTATTGTTCATTCCAAGTAATTGCATCTTTACTCGTGTTAAGCCACACAAACCTAATTAATTTATCTTCTGTTAGAGAGAAGTTATTTGTCATTTGCGATTTTCTCACTCTTGTAGCGGCTTCATTTTGTAATGGTGTCAATAATGTGGGATTGATCTGCATAGCATCATCATATAAATCGGTGTCGTTCATAAGTAAATTAGTGAAAGAATCGTCAAATTGCGAATCCATCTACAGAAAAAATAAATAAATTATAATCAATTTAAAGAATGAGCATAAAATAATCATTTAAAAAATAAATAAAATTACCCTTCATTAAAAAAAAATAAATCTACCATAAATTATAAATTATATTACTAATTATAAATTAAAACAAGAATAGGGGCAGATATAATTATAAATTACAAAACCTTCCCCTTCCCTTAAATAAAACATTTCCTACCCTTTCCCCTTCCCCTTCCCCCAAATCATCGGCTTCCCCTTCATCCCCTTCTCCTACACCCTCTGCAACTTATTACAACAATAACGATATTACAAAAGCAACAATTTCTCAGGGAGTAGTACACAAACGGATCGATAGGAAGCAGTACACCAATGGAACACCGACAACAGTACACCAATAGCAAGGGTTCAGGGAAGCTAGGGTTTTCAAAGGCAATGGTTCAAGGAAACAATTTTCTAGGTTTCAGGCAAGCCTCCTTCTCATTTCCTCTCTCTGTATTTTTATAGAATTTGTGGGTTGAATATAGCTGTTGAAAGGAATAGTAGACCCAACGACTATTTTACAATCTCTCAATTCTCTCTCTAAAGTTGTCAAATATGTCATCTCAAAACCCTAGATGTCATTTTGCCACCTCTGATGCCACCCCCTTTGGAGTCCGAATTTTTTAAGTTGGAGTGTCATTTTAGCTGTTATAGGGATGTCACCCTTGATGGCAACTCCCGTTAGAGTTGCTCTTAGTAGTTGGGCGAGGTGTTAAGTAAAAGGGAAATTTTGGTCCTTTTACATTAAATGTTTATTTTGATTAATTTTTTTTGAAAATCTACCCTAGCATTGAGCCTGTGTTTCACAATTTCCGTCAATTTGAACAAAAAATTGTAACAGTGGCAGATTAGTCCAAAATGATTTGATTTCACAAGCTTATTTTTGAATTACAAGGGGGTAAAGTGCTAAAGAGACAAACCAAAAGGAGATAAAGTAAAATTTTCCCTAGATATAATAATGTTATTTTACATCTAATTATGTAACATAGTTTATTAATATAATTTATCATTTCTATTGAATTGATAACAAATCATATTTAACTTTAAATTTCATTTCTAATCCAATGATAATAAAGCATTACATTAATAAATTATTTGAACTGGTTAAATTTACATAGCATTATTACTCATAAGTTTGTGTAAAATTGTTTCAGAATAATATTAGGAATTACAAAATCATTTCTTTATACCTTCACTGCTTTAATTTTTTATACTTTTCATATAGCATAATAAATTTGATTAATCTTATAGATTAATATATTTAGTAAAACGTCACCATCTTCCTCGTTGAGAAAAACTCGTATGTTGATAAATCTGTTATTAGGAATAAAATTTCACGTAATATATTGTATATTTTTTTTTTAGAATTATTTATTTTAAATTCAAGTGAGACCAATGATATATCAATGAGTATCTCGCTTATTAATAACAGATGATCTATTTATAATGAAAAATAGAGAAAATATATATAAGAAGAAATATGAATTTATGGATTATTTGAATATTGGCGATAAAAGTGAGAAATATTTCGCTTTGTGTGAGAAAGTGGAGAATAATTTGAGCCCCAGTGTCACCATGCAAGTACAGAAAGACTTTTTTGCCCACCATATTCAAGTGTCATTTTCGGGCTAATGTAAAGGGTGATTGTGTCTTTTCATATTAACGGCCGCAGACCATGAAGTAGTGGATATAGTGATACTGGATGATGTGGTACTGGTAAAGATAGAACCCAACTCCCAACTGATTCCACCCTCTGGCCTCTCTCTCTCTCTCCCCCCCCATCGTATCTAGCCCACCTTTGGGAGCCCTCTCCAGCCATAAAGTCCCACCACCGGTAGAAACCCAGAACGGTACTGCCTCTGCTACAACTACACTATCTTCTTGTCATTCATTTCTCAGGTCATGTACTGTTCTTCTTTGACAGGGTTGAATTTGATTTAAAGGTTGGTCATTTTGATAATTTTAGACTAGATAGCATGTGCAGAGTGTTTGAAGAATTGTGCTTTATGGGTTTCTACATTTGACTAGAGTTTTTTTAGATGACCACATTACTTTCTTACCCTTATAAGATTATGTAATCAAGCTTCCTTTAATTTCATTTGAGCATGTATTTGTATACCAAGTTTCGAAAATCTAGTTACCCCTTTAATTTCAACTACTTTCCAGTAATAATGGTATTTAGGACCGATAACCGTGTGAACTAGTGTATGAATTGCCGCCACAGTCAATTAGTTGCTTAAGCACCTGCAATGAGCTAATAGATTAATTTAAGAAGAATAGGAAAGAACTTCTTGATGCAGCATTCACTCTTTTGCCTAGCTACATAAGTGACAAAGATGTCCTGTGCAACTTTTGATTCATTTTTTGTGGGCCTAAATCAAAGTTTTTTTCCCATTCTTGTCCTGCAGAGAGCTAAAAACAAATGATATCTTTGCAAAACTCATTTTGTACCCATCAGTCTTTGTTCCCAAATGCATCTATTCAGGTTGTTGCTCTCTTTCTCTCTCCGTCTTGCTCTTGAATTTCAGTATCATAGACTTCATTCTTTATGTTTATGCAAGTGGACTTGATGCATCAGCTAGGGTTATGTAGGCATGGCCAATCTCGAAGAGGTGTTTCTTTTCTTGTCAGGGTTGAGCAAGTATCGACAGCTTCGGCCATTTCTCAACAAGGTCTTTTATGAAATGCATTTTTTTACTCAATTCATGGCTCAGTTAAGAAGATGAATGTGGGAACTTATTTTGAACAGTAAATATTGACAGCTTGCTTTAGACATGTCTGGCTAATTAAATTTCTGCTTCATCTGATAGAGATTTTTGTTAGGTTCTATGTCACAGGTAACATGGAGGCATAGAGTTCGCGAAATATCATATTGTGTGAATTTTAGGCTACGGGACATATGAGATTTTTGGTTTAATCATTTATTCCTGCTGTACCTTCTCCCTCATGCTTGGAAATATTGTGGTGAAATGATTTGATGGTAGAAACGTATATTTATACATGGGATTATCTTGGCCTGCCACTCTGTTTCTTACATCAGCTCATGCTAGTTGTACTATCATATATGGCAGAACCTAATAAATGTTACTTGGATTATTGATCACTCAGAGAGCACCAACACGTATGCAGTTTGCTAGCTACCCCAAAGTGTGATGTGATGAGGGTAGGCTTATATAGAATGCTAAAATAGAATTCAAGAAATGGTAATGGTTCTAATTGGGAAATAGTTTTTTTTTTTTGGTCATTAATTGGGAAATAGTTTACCTTCAATATAAACTGAAACCTTAGACATAATATTTTAAATGCCCTATTTCTTTTATTTAATTTCGGGGGATGGATATCAACCTCATATATTGGTGTTGCTTATGTCTCTTTCCAGTTGTCTTTGGAGTTGTTGCCAATAACTTCCCCCTTTTCCCTCTGCAACTCCTAGCTGTTTTTTTGAAAGGCTAAAAGGAAACAGAAAAAGATAAGAACATTGTTCTGCACTGAAAGATCACCATTTTTAGGGCATGAGGTACTACTGTATCACCATTTTTTGGGTTTTGTGATACTACTGCACTAACCAATGGTATTAACCCCGGAAATAGAACATTGTTCAATATCACTTGCTGTCAGGAATAGAGATTAGACGATGAGAATGGCCCCTATGTAACTACATTCGTGTCAAGTGTCAGTGCACAGTTATGACTTGGTTATGAGTTTAGGTTTTTGGCTTTTTGTTTCTATTAGTGACAAACAGAAAGGAGATATTATCGTGATCCAGTACTACTCATGTACGACATGATTCGGATCTGATCATAGAAAAATTCTCTTTTAAGTGAACCAGCCTATCCTCTATGTGGGGCTTACATGTGGGTTGAAACAAAGACACATTTGGTTGTGAATTCCAATGTGGCAGGCATATATCTGCACAGACCAATCAATAGTTCAAGTCACACACTCCCATAATCCATTTTTTCTTCAGAGAATTCCCTTCTATGAGCCATCCATTTTCTTGCTTTTGGCATCTTGCACAGGTGCACATAATACATGATCAGACAAACACACACAACACACTGTTCTACATAGAGATAGTAATAACCCATCAAAATTATCATTTTTTTGCTTTCAAGCCAAGTACCAACATAGTCTGACCAGTGTAGAAATAGTGGAAAATTATATTTTCTATCATTTAGATGTTGCAGCTGTTTTCCAATATGTGGTGATTAGGGTTCAAAAAGTTGAATGATCACCTCGTATACTTATACAATGATCTCATTATTTTGCACACTTCACACATGAGACATTGTTGATTAAGATGTCACTTATACTTCCGTTCTAAATTGGGATGTATTTCATGGCTCTCATTAGGTGGTTTTATTTATATTTTTCAATCTCTCTCCCTCTCTCTCTCTCTCTCTCTCTCTCTCACACACACACACACACACTTGAGACTGCACAAGTGATCAATGTACTAATTTTACGATCATGATCCAAGAACAAAAGTTTCCTTCTCCTCTTCACATTGACCTTTCAAACTTGTCAATGGGCTAAACAACTATCACATTATTGTCTTTTACAGATAGACCTGGAAGGCGCCAAGTGCTTGCCGTTGGAGCCACCACTATCCCTTGTTTTTTGCTTTCCCACCTGACTTCATCATCATGTATGTGGTATTCTTCCCAGTGTGCTAAAAATGTTAGTTTAGTTTTGTAACTTACTTTCATTTTCAAAGCTCTATTTCGTTGTCCCTTTTTTGTTATTTTTTGCTTTAAAAAGCATTGACCACGCCTTCCAATTTTGTAGCAAGTTGGTTTCTTGAATGATCATGGCTCATATCCTAAGAATATGACATTTATGTTACTCAGTTGCTGCAGAGTCTAAAAAAGGATTTGTGGCAGTGAAGGACAATAATGATGGGTATTCTTTTCTATATCCCTTTGGGTGGCAGGTGTGTATTGCTATGGTTTCTCCGCTTTATTCTGTATGTCGGTGTATTATGTTAATGATGGTCAGTTACAGAACTACTATATTGCTTGTTTCCTATAATAAATTTTTTAAATTATGCTTAAATTTTTATTTTTTTCCATTTTTCATTTTTTTTTTTGAGCCAGGAAGTTGTCATTGAAGGCCAAGACAAGGTATTCAAAGATGTCATTGAACCATTGGAAAGTGTTAGTGTAAATCTGATCCCCACCAGAAAACAGGACATTCGAGATCTAGGGCCACCACAAGAGGTTCGCCACCTGTTCCGTGTTTTGTCTTCAATAATTGTGACTAAGAGGGCCAATGGTTTTTTTTTTTTTCATCTTTGAACCATTTCTCCTTTTAAGTTCTTGTTCTTTCTTTTGCTTATCCTGGATGGCAGGTGGATCTTTCAATTTTTACATGAACCAGAACCTTGTATGCATGCTATGATAATTATTCCTCTCTCTCAGGTTGCTGAAACTTTAATTAAAAAGGTTTTGTCTCCACCCTCCCAGAAGACAAAGCTAATAGAGGCCACAGAGGTTAGATTTGGAGGATCTGCTTCATTCCTTACAGCATATATTGTGTCTTTATGCTTTTGCCAGTTTTAAGGTGTGGGATTGATATTGTCATCCAAGTTATCTGTGTTAAAGAACTGCAAATTCTATTAATTTTCTTACTTGGATAAATAATGAAAACATCTGCTTCGTCTCTGCTTAAACCTATAAGTTATTATGATGAGGTAGGATTTCTTGATGTTTCGTTAATTATCACAAGACTATTATATTTATGAACATTGCACTGTCGACTTTACAGTAGTTGTGGTCATGGATAAGCTTTTCTCTTTTTATTTTCATCACTGGAGACCAAAATTACCAATGGTAACCTACTGTGATTAACTTTTTTAAATTATTGGATTGAAAAAGTTTGTAACCAGCATTCATGTGCAAAATGGAGTTACCCTGAAATTTCTCAATAGGCTCAAGCCACTCATAAATTTCAATGCACATCTTCAATTCTGATCACCAATTTGATAGATTCTTTTCCGTTCTCCTTACTTTTCTTCCATTTTATTTCCGCTTGGCTGGATGGGCTGTTGACAGGGACAGCCATTTTAAGAATGGTTTGCAACAAGGTTTCCGTCAATGAATTATATTTCAGCTGTTTCATTTCCACATGACAGACAAGATGTTGTCTTCCCTTGCCCCACCAAGGGGACAAAAAAATGGTACAGGCACAATGAATAAACTGCATGTGATCATAGACGTTCTGCTGCCAACAACAACCCTTTTGATTGTTCCTTGAATTTCAGCTGATACCATATTGCTTGAGAAGAAGCCCCAAGGTGGGCCTTCACTGTTTAGTTTGAACAGAATCTTGATAATTTCAGGAAGCCCCCCTTGACGATGGCCAACACTATTATTTTTAACATGCATAAATGTTTGCAGCCAGCTAGACGTGGCACATAATCATGTTACAGTACATACATGCAATTGTATCACTTGAAGTATCCTTTGGCAATATGCTTAATCATGGAGAGTGCAAAAAGCGGAAAGAAATATAATTGTGTGATTTGACTTTATGTCGGTATATTATTTTTCTTCTCGCATTTTGTATTGAAATTCTATTCTTGGGACCATAATTTTATGTAGATGTACAAGAAATCTGATTGATTGTATTTTGATAATGGTACAGCATAATGTTAATGGGAAAGCTTATTACACATTCGAGTTCATTGCTCAAGCCCCAAATTTCACTCGCCATGCTCTCGGTACAATTTGTATCGGAAACGGTATGAAACTTATCTATGATTTGTCACTTGCATAGCATATGCATGTTCCTACCCTGCGTTAGGATCGTTGCAGATGTTGTGTCATGTCAAAAACAAGATATAGAGTGTGAACTTTGTTCCAACACACAGAACAATCTGTTCAACTAGTTGGTTGGATTTTGGATTTAAGGACAACATGATACATATTTTCCTCAGCCTTCTTCTCCTTACCAGATTGGCTGGGAACAAAATTCGGTTGAAATTTTCCAAATAATCAACGCATCTTTACACATGAGAAAAATGGGTGCATGACAGTCAAGGCAAACATCATCCAACACAGCTCACAGCAATGGCAGCATCATTTCACAATCTGCAGAGCACCTCACCGTCTTTTTGCAGTCCACCTAACAACTCAAATGTTTGGCTGATAGACTAGAGCTAATAATCACATCACTTCTGATCTGACTAATCTCTCCTTTGCTTACTAGACAGTAAGGGTTTTAGCCACGGGCCAAGATTGATTTAAAATTTATTTAGAAGTTTCTCTATGGCCTGAAAAAATCAGTTTTCTAGTAGTTCCCTAGTGGTTATTCCTTGTATAATGCACATTTGCAGTAAAAAGCTCCAGCCATTGGGTGGTTGTTAACTTTATCTTCTCTTGTAGTTAGAGGGATTGAGATCAAAGACCAAGGTTGATCTAGATCATAGTTAAATGCTTTGTCCCCTCATTTTTATATAGAACATTTGATTTTTAGGCTCACCAAGTCTTCTGTCTGTTGGTTCATGTTTTTCTTTTTCCCCCCATTGCTCTGTTGTCAAATCAATCTTGAGTGATTTAGGTAGTCATCCTTCTTCTGAATAAAACTGAGAACTAGAAAAGAACACTCAAGAGTTGTTTATATAGTGTGCAGTATCTTGAGCTCTTTGGGTATGAGCACACATTTTTCACCGAGTGTAGCATGTGATGCAGGGAAGTTCTACACACTGACAACGGGTGCCAATGAGAGGAGGTGGGAAAAGATGAAAGACAGACTTCACACTATAATTGATTCATTTGAAATAGTCAATGTTTGAGGTGGTTCTCATATTTTGCTGTTTCTTCCTAGCTGTACCAGGCTGAGTTTTTGTCATTCTTTTTGAACTGGGGAGTTTTGGTCATTCTGTTGTTTGAAAATGTATTTCAATTGTGAAAGGCTATCCATTCTATACAGATGCAAACATTTTTTCCCTTGAGAATTTGAAATTTACCTGCTGTTTGTGTCTTAGTAAAAGCTTAATTGCATAGGTTTATTATGCGATGTGCATGGTAATAATCAGTTATTTCTTCTGCAACTTCCTTCATGATAAGATTTTTTTTTTTTTTGGGGGGGGGGGGGGGGGTACAGGGTTGGGTCAGTTTTCTTGAGGTCGGGCCCACTAACCCTGCAGTCCAGTAGGCTAATGAGTAGCCCAGTCCACCACGGGGCATTCCAACTGTGACACATTGGCCTGGCTGGTAGGGCCGGTGGCGCTAGTTGGCCAGCTAGGCTTGAAGGATTGGCTCTGCCGTGGACATTGACTGGCAGCCCAGCCACTTCATTGCTAACCCTTTGGTCAACTTTGTTTATCTACTGTATCCCTTCATGAGCAATCACAAGGATCATGTCTCCTTTCCTTACAAAATCTATCAGAATTAGATTGAAGGTTCATATGGGGTCAATAAAGGTCTCAAATGAGATAACATGCAGTTTAAAGACTGAATTGAAATTACTCAACTCAACAAAGTTATCTCCCAATATTTTCGGGATCAACTACACAAATTATGTGTTTGTACAATTATACATTTTTGGGAATGTATAATTTGTACGATTCATGGTAGCCATGGAGTTCCTTGTGGTTCTTGTACGTGTTGAGATGATCGAAAGAATCTTTGGTTCCATCAAAAGCCTCCATTTGAGGCATATTGAACTTAGTAGGAGGGTGAAAGTGTTCGATCTCCTGAGTGAATGGAACTCTATCTATTGAGCCAGAGCTTCCATGGAGACTGGAATTCGGTTCTTAACGATATTTTTCACATTGCCCAGTTCATCATAGATTTCCTTAATGTGATTTTTCCAATATTGGTTCAGAGGGTTCTGTCAAAGAGGAGACTGAGGGATGTGTCTCCTTTCTCCATCAGTTTTGTTGTGAGCCTCATCTTCCTGCTCCATCTGGGCTAGACGATGATGAGGTTTTTTGTCAGAATGGCTTCGAAGATCTGTTGGTTGAGGGCGTAAAGGATTCTGAGGTTGTTAGGCATTGAGGATGCTCTGTTGGTTTTGAACTAATGGGTATCTATGGGGTGAGCCATCGAGCAAGTCCAAATGGACGTTTGGCGGTCTACCCATTGGGCGGCCCTAATGGACTTCTTTTGTTTAACTATTGTTTTCTAAAATGCCGTAATGGCCCTCATTGACTTCTCGATTAGGGAGCAAACATAGAAAAGGAAAAGCAAACAAGCAAATACACAAACCAAAAGTTTCTTAAAAAGACAAAAAAATAATAAAAAGCTAAAGAGGTAATAAAACAATACCTTAAAATTCTTTCTCATTATTTCTTGGACATGATTAAGTAGATAATTAAAGAAGCATCCAGCAAGGGAATATGTTGATCACATATGATTGTCAGATCAACCCTATTAAAGTCCTAGTCATGTGTAATCTTTATGAACAATGTTCTTTGGCACATCTTCTTTATGTTTCTATATTTGATTTTCTTTTTTTGATTTAACGGTTAGGGATGTCCGACCTAACTTATGCACACCTCAATTAATTTTCTCCTCTCTCTGATCTAACCAAAGACAGACCATTCATGTGAGGATTAGGGTTTTTATGAGAGATAAATTCGTATGCCTTGATCCTAAAAAATTGTCAAGTCCTAAATTTAAGACGTCTGAGTTTACAAATCGTTTTCATTACCATTCAAAGATTTATATTTAGTTTTTCAGATCAAAAGCAAGTGGATCCGATTTCGTGGTTATGATTTGATCATGTGCTCTTAATAGCCCTCGTGTAGCTAGGCAAATCGTCTACGTTACTATTCAAAGATTTATATTTAGTTTTCCAAATCAAAAGCAAGTGGATCTGGTTGCGTGGTTATGATTTGATCATGTGCTCTTAATAGCCTTCATGTTGCTAGGCAAATCGACTTTGTTACCGTTCAAAGATTTATATTTAGTTTTCCAAATCAAAAGCAAATGGATCTGGTTGCGTGGTTATGATTTGATCATATGCTCTTAATAACCCTCATGTAGCTAGGCCTCCACACCTTTTACCTTAGTGTCTGCCATCCTATTCAAACTTTATATAACAAGTCTGGTTCAGGCATCAGAAACTAATTAAACACTTGATATTGCATTATTGTTCTTGCTCAGCTTATATAAGATTTCATACAAAATATTCTCAAAACACTTTGGGCCACCATCATATCACTGCCAAAAGGCAATTTACTTTAGGAAGATTAATTAGCAAGAACTTATTCTCCTGTTTGGTTGAGAGAGAGAGAGAGAATATGTTTTGTTGTTTGGGAAGATGAAGGACTCATCTTATCTAAACCTTATCCCAGCTGTATGTGTGGTTGATTAGAAAGAAAAAAAAATACTTTTTATTTTCTTAATTAATGGAGAATGGGGCCAAATACATATGTTTGGGACCTATGGTTAGAAAATTTTCCAATGAGAATTTGAGAATAATCGAACCACGTCTACAAAATGTCAGTACCATGCTGTTGCAAAGTCAATTGGCGAATACCTATTGGCGCATACTGCATATGAAATAAAATATTTTGAGAACACTTTGAAAATGAGATAAAAATTAAAAATTAAAATATCTCAAATTATTTTGAAACAACTCAAAATATATAAAATTTCATATTAAAGTACTGACTAAGATTGAAATGAATTTTTTTTATCCTTGGTAACCATTAAAATATTATAATCCAAAACTGTCATGGCGGATCAATTTGATCCATTTGTTCCACTCATTGGCACCATATAATTAGTGGTAATGACAACAATGATGAAGAGGATTATAATCCACAAAAGGGAATAATATATGCAAATGGGCTGCAGAAGGTAGCAGTAGGAGCAGGGGGGGGGGGGGGGGGGGGAGCTTTAGCATAAGTGTGGCATGATGGTGACTGTAGTGCTAATCATTTTTACAAAAGAAGCAAAGAAATCATGATATGAAAGATGATTAAATATTATTATATTTTTATAAAATGATAATATTATGTGATATTATCGTCGAATATTTTCACAAAAAAAGAGATTCTAATAAATATGACAGTTTTTTTGTACGTGTCGACTTTCTTTCCCACTATTTTAAGTATTCAAGTGTGTTATTATTGCCACTCATAAGGTTGCTAAATACCAAATTCCTACCAAAAAGAAGCTGTAAGAATTGCCAAAATTGACATGACTATGAACTGGTGGTGCATATAGCCATATGATTAGGAACTCAATACAGCATAAGGTTCGACTACGACAATTCCAACTTAACTTTTTGGCATGGCATCAAAATTATTCAAAAATAAAGTGGAAGCAACTCCGATTCTATCGAATCTTTGGGGCCGCTCCGAGTCTAAAAGACTCGTAGGCTCAATCTCAAACTTTTTTTTGTCATAAATTGATCCCATTGAATACTAACTCGGTCCAAATAAGTTATAAATAGTTTTTGTTTGGTTCTAACCTTCGGTACTACAGTCGTAACCTAGGGGCACATACTTCATGAAAAATCACTCCAAAATAACACTCAAATTTCAGGTTCTCCTAAGCCTAACATCATTTTCGTATGTGTTTAGAAGCTAGCACTTCAAGGCCAGAAATGGGTTCATTTCCCACCCCACCCAAAAAAGATCTATCCCGTACTGATCAGATTTTGAAATTTCTAATTCGAGAAGACCAGGACATCGATTCATCATATCAATATAACAGAAGGGTAGGTGGGAGATAGTCTTTTAAACTGTTTAGAGAGATTATATACTCCATCCTAAGAAATCTTAATCTATCAATCAAGTACATAACTACTTCAAATAAGTAGTCTAGACTCTGATAGCTTCCATCTTCCACGGCGGAAAGTAAAGCAAGTACTCACCGGTGTGAGAGGAGTTGAGCTTTTGACCAAAGCCAACTTTATTTTCGACCTTAATCAATTTTAAATTTATTTTTCAAATTCAATCACTTTTTAAAAGTATCATAACATTATTTAAAATGGTAATTTCAAATTAATTTTTTTTTATTTAAATCACCATTTCTAATAATGTCTATAACATCTTTTAAGGTATAAATGAGAATGACATTAAAAAAAATGAATATAAAATGACATACATAACTGATGTTAAAAATTATTGGTTAAAAAATATCATTTAGAATGACATTTTTAAAAATTTACCAAATTATTTAACTCAATTTTTTTTAATAACGCAATTGTACAAGTTTGTTAATTATTTTGATGATATTACATTTTTTGTTTAGTAGTGTTATGTTTTAACTAAAAAATAAATTATTAACTCATGTTTTGCACAAAAATTTATGAACTTTGAAAGTTACTAAAAAATCAACTTATAAATTAAAAAAATTTAATTCATTATAGTACAATACATAAAAAAAAATGCTTAAAATATTGTTTGTGTGTAATACATGAATTTTGTGACTAATTTTGAGAAATTTATTTTGCATATGTTAAAAAATTGTCTATTCTAATTTTATGTTATAAGTTCATCGAACAATGAGAGTTGACCTACAAAAGTGTACAAAACATGAAAATATAAAAAAAAATACTTATACATTAAACAAAATAATTTTATTACATGAGACTGTAAGAACTACAGTGTGTCAATATTATGGTTGATGTAGAAAACAACATGGAGGGTTACTGAATATATATAAACTCGATGTAATGAAAGTGTCAAACCCATCATCAGTTAAATCGAAATAATCAAAAAGTTCAGAATTGGAAACAAAGAACGGATCTTATAAAATTTGACTCTCAGCATAGTTAGAATCAAAATGTTCAATTTTTGAATTGGGGAGACTTCTACAGAAAGCACCACCAAAAAAAATGTGTTGTCGGAGTTAAGTTACTAAGCCACCAAGTGGTCTTCTTTGTCAAACTTATCTTCCTCATCGGATTGGTCTTCGTCAAACTGATCTTCCTCGTCGGAGAAGATGGTGGGTGAGTGGTGGAGGAGGAGGAGAGATCGATCTTCCTTGTCGGAGAAGATGGTGTGTGAGAATGGTTGGAGGAGAAGGAGAGCTTCATGTGAG